CTTTTTGCCCTCTATCCGATTTCTTATACAACGTTTCGCCTTTCCGGGGCTATCATCAGGTTAATTTTTTTAAGTATAGTTGCAGTTTTGGTAGCAATTCATGATGTTTTTCACATACAACAAACAGCAAGTTTAAATTTTAACATTTCGTTCTGTATTTGACCTTCCATCTTCAGGTGTCCAAACTTCCAAATCTCTTTATTTTGGATCAGTTAAATGTTTAGAAGGCTTTTTTATAAGGGTTTAAGCCAAACTTCATTAAAATACTAAGTTTCAAAAATATGAAATAGTTATTTTTTCTTTGACACCATTTCTTAGTAGTTACATCAAAAGAGAAATGGGGTCAAAAAAAACAACTATCTCATATTTTCGAAAGTTAGTATTTTAAACGTAAGTTTGGTTATCTCACAATTTTTTTTAATTTAGCATTTAAACGTAAGTTTAACCCTTACAAAAAGGTCTTCTAAATATTCTACTGAGCCAAAACTCAAAACAAAGAGATACAAATCTATGTTAGGACACCTGAAGATGGAAGGCCAAATAAAGAACGAAACGTTAAAATTTAAACTTGTTGTTTGGTGTGTGTTTGACAAGAAAAAATAAATAAATTATATTTTTAAAAATTTCAGTTTTTCCCAAATAAGTATTTCAAAAATAAATTGAGATATTCTTGACTTCTTGGTACCATATTTTTAGCCTCCTAATTGCGTAATTTTGTTCTAATTTAACCAAATTTGTAAGTATCTCTTATAGAGAAGGGAAAAGATTGGATCTTTTAACTTTGAGGGCTTGAACCCGGTTTAAACCCATTTGAAAAGACCCGGTTTAAACCCAAACCCTCTTTTTAACTGTTTTGTATAAAAAGGTTAGTTATCAATTATGCAATCAAAGAATTTCCAAACTATGTCTTTGCCTCGACGCATTTATTAATATTAGGTACAGAATTAAAAATTAAAATTCTTAAAAACCTGAGATCTTTCCAGTACCTAAGTAGGGTGGGGTCAATATTTGACATTTTAATCTGCTTTGAGGCTATAAAATGGCGCGAAATTTAAACTATTGAAACGAGCGGGTCTAAATGAAAAGACCGGACCCGGTTTAAATCCTCACGACACAACTTTAATTTCTTATAATAAAAGAGAAGCGAGGCACCCATGGTGAGCCTCTTGAATGACTCACCCTGTATACATCGAGGAGTAACGCAGGGCAGCGAAGTTTTAGAGCCGCTATGTCGTATGTTATTCATTAACAGAAAATACAAAAATATATATTTTTGCAACGCTATAGGACATAAGGAGCATATTTGAAAAATATTTTGTTCTGGAATTCCCCGCCACATCAAACTTATATTTTTTGTAATGAAATATCACTTTATTCTGATATTTGCATTTAGTTCATTTTAAGAAGGCAAAAAAGGAAATGTAAAGACCTGGCTTGTATACCTAATGGAAACCCAAGAAAAGAAATTAATAACATTTTAAATTCAATGTTTTTTTTTTGTATTACACTAAGTGACTGAAGTGATAAGAGATAAGCAAAAGTTGATTGTTAAGACAATATGAAATTAAAATTGTGTTGGTTATATTAATATTCAAGAATGAATTACTTTTTTGGTCGTCACTTTTTTCATTAAATATCCAGTGGTTTTTTTCTTATCGGTAAGTAGCTACTGATTTGTAGATTGAAAAAGAGATCTACCTGAGCTAGACTAATTGAAGCTACCAAGGCTACAACATAAATAACGATTTTATGTGGGACACCCTGTACGTAAAATTTAATCTTTATTCTTAATAAAGAAAAATTAGTACATATTATTGGTTTTTTATGCGTTATATTTTCGTACTACTTAAGCTTTACAAAATCTTATTACTTAGGTACTTTTAAAAAATTACCCATATTTATATATCAAAGACTAGCTGACCCGGCAAACGTCTTGCCATCTTGTGGAACTGTGGATGGAACAAAATAATATAAAAATCGCGATTAAAAATCAGGGGTTGATCGTATAAGGGTGAAAATTTAGAACTGTATGTATTTTTCAATGCTGAATCATGAAAAAATAAAAACAGAAAATTTTGTCCAAAANTAAAATTGAGAGAAGTATTCACCAGTTTTTTGAACACCCTGAACACTTCATGGATCTAAAATAGACCCTCCAAAGCTGCTTCCTTAAAATTATTTTTTTATTGCTAATATTAAGTTTCTACGCTATGCCTGCATTTTCACTAAAATTGAAATATCTCACAAACTGTAAGTCCTAGGTATGCAGAGCTTCACCAATTTTTTAATGGTGCTTTCAAAAATGCAGTAAAACACAGGGCGTTCCATTTAAAAATACATAACTTTGATATGGTACGCTTTTCCTGGACACCCTGTATATTTCAAAATATTTTTAAAATGTAGCCGTAATCAACCTACACATACCCACCTAAACAGGTTTCTATAACATTTGCCGTTTGGTCCCTAGCGACTGAGGCGTTACTGGTGGCCCACCCTGTATAATTCCTTTGTTAAAATAAAAACTAATATACTTTTTCATAAAAATAAATTTGTATATTATTATAAAATAATAGCTGTTTTACATTGCGAATTTATTCATGAATTAACTCATGAAGTCGCTTCGTGAAGACATTGGATAAGTGTAATAAATCTGCTGTCAAATAACTTCGTGAAGTTCAGAAATACCAACCCAACAAATTTTCAGCCTCAGATCAATAATGAGGTTATGTTATTGGCATATGTAAATAATTGTGTGGCGTCGTACTGCTTTTGTATTGTTTTTACTGATCTATTGCTTACAAAAACTAATATTTATAACAGTGTCAAAACGGTACTGCTGTTGTACCATTACGTATATGTGGAAAGGTAAGACATTTTTTTGAGTGAAATTTGAAATTTATTGGCTACTTTGATTTGTTGGTAGAACTGATTTATGTGTCAAAGTAATCCACAGTCTGTAGCAGTGTAAAATCAATCCCTTTATGGATTAATTTGTCAATTAATTCATGAACAACTTCATGAACTTATTCATGAGTAAATTGCCAGTGTAAGACAGCTATTAGAAATGAGGAATAATAAACAATGCGACTAATTTAAAAGGAAACGGTTTAGTAAAATGGAATATTTTACGTTTTTTGTATTACTGCAATGTGTCAGAATTGAAGGATTGTTTTCCTTAATCAAATTTAAGGAAATTTTCTTATACAGATTACCTACGACGAAACGCACAAACTTTAGGCGGACATTCCTGAGATGAAAATAAGTTTTTTCTTGTTTAATTTAATTTATTTTACTTATTTTTACCTAAAGGATGACACTTTGAAGCTTATGCACTTCCTCGTGAGACAGCCTATATAAATGTATGTCCTTAAGACCTTCCTTTTTGAAATAAATAAAAACTGTTGGCTCTCCACATATCTTCTGAACAAATAAAATCTTAAAAAATAATTTAGTGTTATAAAGGAAAATATTACCAGCATACATCAAATCTGTGTCCCTGGTTTGAACTGAAACTTAATTATTTCTTATTGAACTATTGTGTACCCAATTGTTTTTAAACGTGGACACTATGTGATACAACTGAAGAACAAATGGTTCTCTAACAAAATATTCTTTAATTTTAACGAGGAAAATGCTATGTTTAGTTTAGTTCACAGTGAATTATAATGGCGGTTTTCCACTAAACGGATAGTTGAGTTTATGTCCTGTTTGTGTTTTCTAGAACCTGAAAAACAAAAACAAAACTGAAACAAACCCAAAACTCTTGTTTCCATCAAGCGGGCGACATTTTGTTCGAGTTTTATTTTTGTTTTCGGTCCTTTTCCACTGGTTGTCGCGAAGAAGTCAGAACACATTTTTCCAATAACCAACCCGACATGTTTAGAGAAGATTTTTTTATTCTTAGTTATGGCTGGTTTATACTGAAGTCCATGGAAAAAAAGGAAGTGTATATATGTATGGTTGAAGTGTTTACTTGGTTAGTTAGTATACTAGCCGAGTAAATACCTTAACCGTACGTATATATTTTTTAATAGCTATGTTCCATTAATGATTAAAATATTGTTTTTGGGAAGAAGAAAACGCCAACATAGATATTGGGTTGGATCACTTAAATAGAAAACACAACATGACCGTTTCCACTAAACAGACTTGAGTGTCAAAATACGTCGAAACCTTTTGATGTGACCGCTTTCGAGCGGGACCCGAAAAACAAAACTCCAACTGTCGCAAAACACGCCAGTCTTCAAAAAGTTTGCGAAAAGTTACAGTTCCGTTTTATTCGACACGAGTTTGTGTTTTGTCCATTTAGTGGAAAACCGCCTTAACATAGCAAATTATTAAGTTTTTAGTTGCTTCCGCCGCAACATATGTATTCTTTTCAAAATTTGTCACTGTCACAGATGATGGTTTGACAAGTACTGGTAAAATATTCTCATCTTATTTTAGTTTTTTAAATATTTCTAGGCATTTGTAACAAATGTTGAATATAAATTAAATGAATTGATAAGAAAATTCATGGAAATTTAATTAGTTGGGTGTTTCGATAAGAAAATCTACTAATGAAAAAACTATATCACTTTTGTATCGACTAAGCTGTGAGTGAGTAAATCCATACCCTATTTACTTTGTTTTGTTGCCATACATACTATGGGTAGCGCTTTTTATTTAAAATCGATAAATATTCCATGCTTGTTTCTGTATTAATTTGGAATTTTGCATATTTCAAACTTCCGTAACTCCCAATAAAATATCAAAGCAATGCCATCTGATCCATATTTCCCTTAATCAGAATTTCAAGGACAACTATAAATGGTAAAAAGAATAGGGTTGACATTAAAAGAATTGTGAAGAGAGAGGAGTGAGAGATAAAATAAAAACCTTCATAAAAGATGCTCGTTTAAGAGTTGTCCTTTTTTAGTGTTTTAACTATAAATATACAGGGAATTTTATATTTAAAACATTCTACAGTTCACATAATATACATATTATTTGTCTTCCAGAAGGGCCAGTCTTCTGAAGAAGAACTAGAAGGTGATGAAATTGACAATAAATCTGACGCTAATAGAATATGTTCCTTACGAACACCTTTCCTAGAATTGTCTGGTCATAGTGGAGCTGTATCTGCTGCTGAATGGCTTGCTGGAGCCGATCAAATCATAACTGCATCTTGGGACCGCCTGGCTCTTTTACATGATGTCGAAACCGGTTCAATTTTAACCACACTAGCAGGTATGTCCATCTATGTGAACTTCAGCTAGAAATTATAAAGCATTAAGTAACCTAATGCACAAGTAGTTTTTATAATTTATATGTTAAGTATTCAGCAATGAACTAAACTATTCAACTTAAATCTAATATCGGATGTCCCAAAGTTCACACAAGATTTGAATTTTGCGCCATTTGTGCGGTAAAGGGTTTCCAACTAAAAAAAAAAAGACAGAGTGACAGCTGACAGTTCAGGGTTACGGAGCACGAAAGAACGCGTTTTCTTTGTTGAGCAATATTTTAAAAATAACGAAAGTTTAGCTGCTACAATTCGCAATTTTCATACAGAATATGGTCAGAATAATAATTAACTTCCTCAACTGTGAAGAGTTTCATTGAAAAATTCAGGGAAACTGGATCAATTAGTGATCTTAAACACTCTGGCCGTTCACAAGTCGTTGAACACAAAACATTGAAACAGTTCGTGATAGTGTTGCTGAGAGTCCAGGAACATCAATTCGACACTGTTGTAACCTGAGGGGTCATTTCTTTATTTAACCATCTACCGTTATGACCAGTGTCTTAACTTGCAAAAGAGTTTAACATTTACTTCTCGGAAGGGAGTTTAATTATCATCTACACTTTAATTAATACCTACATGGGAACTTAGAAGTGTTGTACGTTCAGAGAATGAATTTTAGACACTTACCGTACATCGCATCACGAAGAGTATATTCCAAGTGTTGGTTGTACAGAGTGTTCCACTCTCACTCGATGAACACTTAGTTCGGAAGAGCAAGAAAACACCAAAACATCGAGGAAGGTTTTTAATAACAATAAAAAACAAAACAAACAAACAAAATAATGGGGACACAACGGATTCGAACAAACATTATTAATTAATTTACACGCGATAACGCAATCCGAGATTCGGGGAACCCAACACGAATTCATAGCAAAATTTGAAAAGATTTTATCCATTATTAAATTAACCCGGGACTGTAAAATTAAGAAAACTGCTCAGTATGGAACCCAAGGAGAAACTGTTTTTTTGTTTTTTTTTGGAGATCTCTCCCGACTTCAACACCTCGCTACGACACGCCCATTTCTGGGGTCCAAAAGAGTATGTTCTTATCTTATTGGTGGGTTCCCTGAATTCCAGGATTTGGAATGGCTTAACTATATCCTGTTAATACCTAATTGACTGAATTTACAATTGTATGGATAATTTTATGACTAAACTGAACTTACAAGTAACCCTACACCTTTCTCTTGTCACTCCGTATAGCGGGACGGATTAGTCAATCTCGTTTAATCTATTCTTATAGCTTGGAAAATCCACTTAAAAATCAGCTATTTGATCTATTATTATTTTCCTCACAACATTCTAACAACTTATTTAAATATCTTGGAATACCTACTTATTTTCGAATGTATTTCGCGCGTTATTAGAAATATTGATTTTTTTCCCTTCACCATGGGCTAAACCGACGCAGTTAGTCGATACCAAATGCCCAACACATGGCCCCAATGATCTAAGTCTACTTGTTCAAAATCATTGCTAGATTTCATGAGGCCTTCTCCGAAGGACTGGGATGGTCGAGCTTTGCAAGTTTATCACTCCCGGTGATGAGAGGCACCAGTTTTTCAACGACTTTATAGCGATGCTAAACCTCCTTGAAGACCCTTAACTTTTCAATAATTATTGTTGACTGAGTTGGCCCATCCGTTCCAAGAACTAACAAATAATCTATCACTAGTCCCGGCTTTTGTTACACCGTAGTCAAAAATTGGACATTTCGAGAAGCTGTGTGCAGCATATTTCACTAAAAATTTGCATCTTCATGCTTACAAAATACAATTGACAGGAATAATAGTTAACAGTGCCAGTTTTATGTGCCTAAATTGCAATATATGGATATAGACTGCATGTGGTTTCAACAAGACGGTGCCACATGCCATACAGCCCGAGAAACAATTCAGTTTCTGCATGAGTAATAATTTCCCATTTTGGTGATCAAAATTACCTGCCCAGATCATCACTTTTTTCTCTGGGGTGTTTTTGAAGTCTAAGTCTCAACAAACCCACAACCACCCACGCCTTTAAAAGGAAAATTGAACACTGTATCAACGAAATTCATCCGCATTTATGTAAAATGGTCATGGAAAATTTTGACAAAAGAGTGTGTATGTGGCAGCAAAGCAAGGCCTTTTACCCGATATGCTTATTCCATGCAGAACCCTATACTGTATACTTCATGAATCAATAAAAAATTAACAATTTTTAATTGAAAATCTGCGTTTTCTATAGAAATTACTCCTTGCGTGAATTTTGGGACACCCTACAAAAAATTTTAAATTAGATGCTTAAAAAACTTATCAAAAAGTGGCCGTATAATTGTAACAGTGTCGGATAAACAACTAAGAAATATGTTTATTGCACTTTTATAATTTTAATCAGTAACATGTCTTTCAATAAGATCGTTTCCAATTTTTTTAATATTAATTTTGTCATGCATTAAAAATACAAAATATTTATTTTTAACCGCCTCAGATGACATAATTGATGGAAGTTTGCGCATTACAATTATTTTTTTTAGCAACTCTAAAGACAAATATACAATCCTCTATTCTATGATTCTGATAGAAATAAATATTGGCATTGGCATTTTGTTGCAATTAAATTTAGTCTAGTGTAGATTTACACTTAAGGACGGGATTTTGTACAAAAAAATATCGCCCAGTGTGAGTCACGAAGCGGGACCCCGGCAAGTGCTGCTCTAGCCTCTAGCGGCCAACGCTTCAAGCTGTGTTTTTTTAACCAAACGACGAACAAGTCTAATAATTTACCCTGGACCGATTTTCCAGGAACGGCTCCAATTTGTGTACATATAATCTTATAAGGAAAGAGAGTAAAGATTTTATTAATCAGTAATAGATTATCAAGGACAATAATATTTTTTTTATTAAGTAGGCAATAATTTTTAGTTAATAAGCTTAAACAATCTTATAATTACTATTCCTTCATTATAAAAGCAGAAATACGATTTTTAAAATTACATGTAGTTTCTTCTTCAAAAGTGACCTTAAAACAAGTATAACATGGAATAGTCAACAGTCTAATGTTTATATTTTCACATTAACAATCCGATAATGTAAATTAACTGCTATTTTCAGTAAAAAAATATATACCTAACCTGAAATATTTTTTTACTTTGACGAGTCGTTTTAACTTAAAAACACTGCTTAATTACTAAAATATATAGAATCTTGCTACTAATTGCGTTTGGAGAATAATATGTATAGGCATAAAATATATATATAATATTACTGTATGTATTTAGTCCATTGAAATGAAGGCTGAACCTCCATTTTTTCCTCTGTCGATCAAACCTGGGCGCAAATATGTTTTCGACCCTCAGGAATCCGAATCCGCAAAAATTTTTGACCTAGGTGATCAGGCAAGGGGTCAAAAGGTCAAAAAACCGTAAAAAATAAGGTTTTTCGCAAATATCTCGTAAACTACGGCAAGTAGCAAAAAAATAATTGCACCATCGTGTTCCCAGGGAAATTTTACATCGATTTTATGCTATTGCTTATTAAAATTAAATAAATTTATGTCATGTTTTGGACAATTACTAAGCAATATAATGCGATTTCAAATATAATTAGCCTGCAGTTATAGTGGATCTGAATTCAATTGCCAGATACACTATTTTTTTTGCTACTTACTTTAATTTTTAAATGGAAAACCAAAAATAATACTAATGAAGAACAGAAAAAAAACTTTTTTAGAACGAAATACTTATTGCAAAAATGAAATATAGTGCTCTGAAAAATCGACTTGTAAAGCTTATTCTACAAATACTTGTTCATAAAAAAGTCAAAATTTGTATAAACAATTGTTCCCAGAATGACAACTTTTTATTTCTAAATTTTGAAGACTTTTGAGGAATTGAATAATGAATAAAATAAGCCTAGTAGTCCGGGCGAATTAGGTTTTTTTTCAAAAATCGGGCCTAAATCTAATCTAAATAAATTTTAGTGTCATCTAGACACTTGAAGGAACACAGGAAAATTTGGAAAATAATTTTTAACTTGACTTTTGTTAAAGTTATTCAATTGTTAATGAACTAATTTTTCGTGGACTTAATCTTTCATAAAATTTGTTGTAAAAGTTTAAATAATGTATCTAAAAATTTTTTTCTTTCTCGAAGGTCTTTTTATATACATAATAAACAAGATTCCGTTGTAAAAGTTTATAACAGTTTTTTCATTTGTTTATAATGATTTTTAAAGTTAACAAAAAATGAAAAATCCGGGAAATGTTATAAATTTTTTTTTTACCAAATGTTTGATTTTACTTGTTTTTCTATTAATATATTGCGTTTATTAACTTAGCTATAACAAATTTATAAACAAATGGACAAGTTTAATATTTTTGAAACATTTTTTTGCTATTTTATTGTCTTGGTAAAATAATGATTTTTAAAAACAAAAATTTTTCTTGAATAAATTTTTTAATTGTTTATAATCGTTTTTTTGATTTATTTGTCATTTAAATTATTTATTAAGAATTTTTTTTTAAATCATCATTTGCTATTATCAATATAATTACAAAAAAAAAATTATTCAAATTTTCATTGTTTATTTTATAACTCAAAAGTTCATTGTATTCCGTAAATATCTTCCAGGCTGCACAATTGGTTAAAATTTTGAGTTTCTGCTCTTACAAAAGTTAAGTGTTTAATTAAAAATAGACAAAATTGAAGAAAACAACAAGAAGAATATAAAATATTGACATTAGTTAGAAAAAAAGTACAGAAAATCCAGAAAATGTACCCTTAATCGTGTGATAATTTAAACAAATAAAAAAACATCGTAAACAAATGGAATAAAAAATATAAAAAAATTTTTATTGAGTAGTCCAGTAGTTACTCTATAAAATTGTCTTAAATAGTGGAATCCGTAACTTCAATAGTTTAAAAGTTTTAGTCATTTAAAGAATTAGATAATGCATTTTT